AAAAAAAAAAAAAAAAAAAAAGAAAGAAGTTGGAGCCCGTTATTCCACGCTCCACCAACTGGATGACACAGACCGTGCCTCCCACATGCCTCCCTCTGTCTCCTATAATTACCCCTTTCCCTCTTCCTCTTCTTCCTTATCCTCTCCATTAATTCCCAATCCCCCTCCTCTCTCTTTCACCTTCCATGGCCGAATCGCAGAGACGACCCTCCGGCACCGCCGCCCGGAAGCAGCAGCCAAGCCGCCTGCAGCGCCGGGCTCCAGCCTCCCTCCAAATCAGCCGCTCCGATTGGAAGGTCGCCATCCCTCTCCTATCGCCTCTCGTATCGCCATCGTCGCCGACAGAGATCCAAAATTGGACCGCCGATTCAGGATCGATTTCTTCTTCTTCTTCTCATCATCATCATCATCATCATAAAGAATCGGAGCCGGAGAAGCCGCCAGTTTTTAAGAAATGGCAGCATCCGGCGGCGCCTTTTCATTACGATTCGGGTTCTAGGGCTCCCAGAGCATTCGTACCCGTTTAGATTTCTCTTCCTTTTTTCTTTTTTTCTTTTTCTTTTAATAAACTCGACTTGGATCTGTAATCAGAAGAATTGTAGTCTTTAGATCTAACGGTCTCTTTTTGACGAGCTTATGGATTAGATCTTATGCTTAACACACTTGATTATTTGTACATTGATTTTTTTTTTTACCTGCCGCTAATACTGTGTTATTATATTATTTGGTCACGAACTCCTCGCCACACTCCTAACGTTTAGATTGAAATTACATTTTAAAAATAATAAATTCAACTCACATTTATTAAAATATTACATCCAACAATAATTTAAGCTCTAATGTGGATTTGGAGTTCTACACGACGTCGTTTCCATTTTCCTCTATTTTAGTTATTTAATATTAAAAAAAAAAACTAAAAATTTGATTCTAGCCCTGTTTAAATTATTGTGTTATGTGAATATTTAAATATTTTATATTTGATGAATAAATAGGATTTTTTAAATAATTAAAAGAAATTAATAATCCAATCAGACAATAATGTTCCATACCCATTTTCAAAACAACACGAGAATGACTTAATTTGAATGTTTCATTCAAAAACCAGAAACATTCAAAAACCACTATTAGAAAAATCGATCTATTTTAAGCCAAAAATTGACCGTTCTGTTCACAGAACCTCCAAAATAAAAGAAACCAGAAACATTCAAAAACCACTACTATAAAAATTGATCTATTTGAGGCCGTTCTACTGTTCACAGAACATCCATAAAAAAATAAGAAAAAAAAAACTGCAAAAACGACTGGACTGACTTAGAACATTGTCGACTGGACTGGTTTAGAACATTGTATCCTAAACACAACCTTTTGAAAAAAAAACTACAAAAACGAACTGGTTTAGACATTGTATTCCTAACACAACCTTTTTGATTCCCAAGTTTAAAACACTGAAAATAACTTTTTTTAAAATACAGATCATTATTGCAAAGATCCCGTAATTCTTCATATATTTTTTTTTAGGCATTCAGAATATTTATTTCTTTTCTTATTTTAATTGTTTATAATTGAAAAAAAAAAAGAATATAAAGATATATAATTATGTACCCATATTAGTAAGGTGATGTTTCTATTTTCATAAAAGATTTTGATATAGTTTGAATGGTCAATATTCAAAATTCTGAATAAAAAAAAACGAGCGGGCTCCAATACAAGAATAATATAAAAAGCATTCAAACTATAATTTAATAAACAATATTTATTCTTTCAATTTTCTTAATATATATTCTCTGAATATTCCCTTAAAACACGGATTTATTAATTTAAATTATAAATTTAGCATAATGCAATAATATGCTTTGCTCTAAATCACCCACTAAAAAACACCCAATTTCAACCCTCTCTTGTTTCGCTCATTTAAATATATAATCTCTTCTTATTATTATAATAATAACTATTTTTAAAATAAATTGGATTGTACCTTCCAAATATTATTAATTATTTGATAATGTGAAAATTAATAGATCGACACAATCACTCGAACTAGATTTGAGACGAGATAGAATTGGGTTGAGCTAAGATGGCAAATTGCAATTTTTTCTCGAACTAAGATTTAGCAATTTCTATGTTTGAGAATAGAGATGTCCATGGGACGAGATGGGACAGAGAAGCCTTCTCCATCTCCGCTTCTTTTTCATTTTTCATTCTCGTGAAATTCTTCACAAATTTATTTTACATAAAACAATACTATATTAAAAAAAATTTAGAATTCTATATTTTATGTCTTTAAATATTCAATTTTGTATTTGTCTCTGAGTATGGTGTGAGAGCAGAAGCCTTGTGCTCGAGCTTTTGTTCCGTCAATTTTTTAGAATTAATATTAAATTTCACTTCTTGGGTTTTCTACAATTTTTCAAGTAGAGAGCTGATTGATAATTTAATATCTAGTAAACTGTGAATAAAACGATCCAAATATAACAAACTAAACTTGAAATGACCAGATTCGTTCTACATGATTCAAGGGGACAAATAACATCTTAATTTAATAATTATGTCACATCAGTTTAAAAGTAATAAAAAAAATTTATAATCGTCACTATTTAACATAAGACATTATCCCAACTTGAAACCTTAGAAACCTAAATGCTAGTTACTCGAACACGAGTAGGGCCATGATACATGCTAGTGTAGTAGCAATATTGATGGATGATGATCACAAAACAAAAAGGGTTGCCCCCACTTTGTGTTTTGTCACTACTTGGTTGCTATTTTGCTAAGGAAAAATGAATGGCCATATGGATTTGGTGTACCCCTCCTTCCCTAACTTTTTCTTGTTCTTCATTAAAACCTTTATACCTAATCCCACTATGAACACCTCTACTTTTGACCAAATTTCTCTTCCTATTTTCCTTTTCTTTTTGTCTTCTTTTTTTTCCCGATATGTATTCTGATTATTGGATAAGAATGACAGTAACAGTCTAAGTCCACTACTAAGAGATATTGCCTTACAATGTGTCTACTAGAGAAAGGTTTCCACACCCTTATAAAAGATGTTTTATTTTACTCTCCAACCGATGTGAGATCTCACAATCTACCCACTTCAAGGCCTAGCGTTCTCGTTATCACTTATTCTCCTCTACAATCGATATGTGATCTCACAATTCCATTTTGATTTTTGTATTTTTAAATATCTAAATTCAGTAGAATTATAACAGTAGCTTATGTTCAAGAAAATATTATAGATTTAAAAAAGAAAAGGACCCACGTCCTTCATGTTTCTTTCCATTGTCGAAGTATATTTTTCGTCTGGATGGCTAGAAAATTTTTTTTTTTAAAAAAAGCTTAAAAATCAATTGTTCAAGGCTCACTCGTTCCATTCGAAGTTAGTGGGGGAAGGGGAGAGGACTTTTCGAAGGGTCTTTAAGTAGGTAGGGTCATTATTATAAAGAGTAGGATCATGATAAACGACTAGAATGTATTATTTGCTACACAAAAAATTAAGGAACATAGGAACATCAAACCATATATGTTTTTCAATATGAACTTGGAAAGCTTATTCCAAAATATATAGATAGGTTGAATCGATTCAATTGTAATTTTAAAAAATACATCATTACTTACGTGTATATATATTTATTTTTATTTAATTTTATAATAAAATAATTTTTCAAAATATAGCGGTAAATATTAACTAAATATTTAAAAACAAACCAATGAACGTTATATTTTCATAACAAAAAAAAAAAAGTTAATGAATGATTGGAACTCCCAAAATCAACCCAACTAATAAAATATATAATTGAGTTGAGTTGGTGTTTATTTCTCGACCAAAATTGTTTGGACGGAATTTTACCACTCGAACAATTAGGTTTTAATTAAAAAAAAATTAAAAAAAAAAAAAAAAAGATTCCAACTAACCCAACCTAGAAGTGATTTTAATCCCAATCAAACCATTTTAACATTTTTATAATCTCTCCTTTTGGATGAATGATTTTTTTAGGGCTTTTGTCCTTTCTTCTTTTTTAGTTGTGCCAATAAAAAAAAGATTATAAAAAAAAAAAAAAAAAGTTCCAACTCATACATTGGCATGCTTTTGAAGGCATTCAGACATTATGATGGAAGGAGAGGAATGGGTGTACTTAAAAATCATATCACTTTTTTAATCAAAATTATTCTCACCTTCCAAATCCCGTACGATTAAAAATTTCAAAACAATAACATTTTTTTCAGATTCGAATCACTTCACAAGCAAGATCGATCATATCAAGTTTAAATGATTTTAAACATGTAACATAAGTTGTAAAGAGTTAGAAACAAACTTAGTTATTGGCGAAAGAAAGCACAAATGTTCAGCCTACATAGCTTATATAGCTTCAAAATGAAACTCTTACCTTTCACGAGACATTTTAAAAATGTGTAATTTTATATTTTATAACTATAATTAGCCATTACAAAAAAAAGCTGGTTGAAAAAATCTTTGAAAAAAAATTCACTAAATTTACTGAAATGGACGAAACAAGGACGAGATAATATCGCCATAAACTAATTTCATCAAATTCAAATTCAATTGCTCTAAAAAGTTCGGTTATTTTTCCAAATTTTCAAAAAGAAAAAAAAAAAAAGTCAAAAGAACGTGAATTTACAACTACATCACTGTTCTTCAACGTTTTTGACCTTCAAAATTAGTCACAGAGTGCGTCTTTTTTTTTTTCCCTCCAATCGCTCTCCCTCTCTTCTGGGTTTTGTTCCTCAATGAGCTGTTCGGCGCCGCTCTTCGACCTCCGAATTCTCTCTCAGTAATCATCTCTTCCTCTTCTTTAATGCAAACCCATCAATGATTTTCCACTTCCAAACTCTTCGATTCTTCCCAATCTTCATCAAATCTAATGGGTTTGCTCTAATTTCTCTAATTGTTCTAATTTCTTCTTCTTCAGATCTGCAGGTCATTTGGGTTCAATCTAATTTCGTTCTTCTTTCGAAGATTACTCTCAAAAGGGTCGATTACTACTGGGTTTTCATCGATACCCAGATCTGTTTCTGTTCGAATTGACGAGCAGCAATGGTTGCAGAGCCTTGGATTGTGAAAATGGGGAACCAGGTTAGCGCTAATCTCAAGCAAGCCCTTCTCGAACCTTCAAAGAATAAGAGCAATACTAAGCAAACAATCGGTATTCTCTCTTTTGAAGTTGCTAATGTAATGTCCAAAACGATTTACCTTCATAAATCCCTGTCTGATTCGGCCATTTCAAAGCTCAAGAACGACATCTTGAGCTCTGATGGAGTTAGAAACCTCGTGTCCTTTGATGAGGTTCATCTTCTCGAGCTTGTGGTTGCAGAGAAGCTCGAGGATTTGAACCGTGTGGCTCATGTGGTTTCTAGGCTTGGGAAGAAGTGTTCTCAACCTGCGTTACAGGGTTTTGAACATGTGTATTTGGATATCATTAATGGAGTTATAAATGTGAAGGAATTGGGGTTTTTGGTTAAGGATATGGAAGGGATGATGAAGAAAATGGAGAGGTTTGTGAATGCTACGGCCAATTTGTACACTGAAATGGAGGTTTTGAATGAATTGGAACAGGCTGCTAAGAAGTTTCAGAATAATCAACATGAAGAGAGTAGAAAAGCTTATGAACAGAAGCTTATATGGCAGAAACAAGACGTGGGGCAT